TGGCCTTTTCTTTTGTGCCATTTCATCGTCATCGTCGTCTCCATCGCTGTCGTTGTTTCCATCGTTGTCATCGTCAGCCGCAGCCGCAGCCGCATCAGCAGCTTTAGCTGTACAATTTTCTTATAGAGACCCAAGGCATGTGAAAGTTATGCGCCATACCACAAATCTCTTTCTATTTCTATTCCGTTTGTCAGTTTTATGTTTTTCTTTTCTACTGCTTCTGTTTCTTCTGCTTTGGCCACAGAAGTGGGCAGGGGGAGGGGTACTAACGGGTTTTTCTGTAAGACTTTGGCAACACTTTTGCTTTCTTATAAGGTTGCAGCCAACCACCAGCCTAAGGGGCCTCCCCCCCTATCCCCAGCTGGCCGTGTGGCTCTGGCTATTTAGCATTTCAGACTTGGAAACGATTTGTGTTGTTTGCGCAGAGACCAGAGTCCCTCAGTGGCGAAAAACCCGTTCCCCTGAATCCGAAAACACACCCAAAAACCGAGCAACTTGTTCTATAAATTATAAAATTAAATTAGCAAGGCATCTCAAGTCAAACCATTTTCTTGGCATTTAGCAGAGACTGGCTAACACTTTGTGGGGTTTTTGCTAAGCTTCTTTCTCAGGAAATACGCTTATTTTCATCCCAAGATCTTCTCTAGATCATACATATGTAGATATGTACTCGTATATAGCTGCCAAATCATCTGTTTGGCATTTCCAATCACATTTGTTGACACGCCTCCGCCTCCACCTCCACCGCAATCTCACAGTCTCGAGGTCTGCTCGGTCTCTCTTTGTTGTATCTCTCGCTTCTTCATCTGCTGTTTACTCTTCTTCCCCACAGCCCAACAAAAGCATCAGCAAACGTTTATTTTCTCTCACTTTAAGCTTCAAAAATACACTCAAACATCGTTAAAACGAAACATAATTGATGTTGAAATTGGTGGGGGAACACCTTTTACCAATTTCAAGGCTAAATCATATTTCACTATGATAACTATGTTAAATAATTAATTTTGACAACTCATCAGGGGATTCATGAATAAGTCCTTCAATTTAGTCATCAATGAAAGCCCCCAGTCCCCCCAATCCAAACAAGAGACAAATCATTCTCAGACCACGAATGCACAAGAGCACGAAAGATGATATTCGACTTACGCATAACGTAAAAACCAAACATTAAGCTCTACTGTGACTCATTTCACACTTGTTAAAATCACTTCGAATCAGTTTATAGATGCACAACATCCGAGTGCCACATGAATCCCTCAATAGCATTGTAATTCTTGCATTTTAATGCCTTTTAATTGGCTGAAAACGAAAAATTTGTAAACTGAAAAACTCTCTTGTATTGTACCCAAAAAATGTTTTGGTGAGTCACATATCATTTTGCTGCACTTCCAAGTCGAAAGGTTGTGCTGTTTCTTTGTATATTATTTGCACGGATATAACGGTAAAATGCTTAACAGACAAACAGAAAAAACAAAACAAGTTGAAGGAACTTAAAAAAAATGAGTTGGCAAGAAGTTAAAGTGTCTTTTTTTATGGCACAGAAGCGAAGCCAGGAGGTAGGGCTATAGTAATGTCCTATATATATATTTTTAGGAGTTCTTTTGAATCCATTATCTTATGTGATTCATCATTGAAATGCTATGTTCATACTTTATTCATTTTGGAAGAAAATTCACGCCAATTGGAAACAAGTTTGTGGTTAGAGGGTTTCGCTTCTTCAGAATATGGTCCAAGACTTTCTCAATAACAGTTCCGTGTTTAAGACAGCATCAGTAAAACTTTAGTTTTGTTTATAGACAATATATATCACAGAAAGTTTTTGCTTTTCCCTTTACTGGTTTGAAAAGCTGGAACTTCGAATTTGCTTTTGTATATTTGTTTCATTAGCTTTAAATGTAAATTATCAGTCGAATGTTAATTGAAACTTCTCTACAGATGATAGCCATAGATACCACAAAGATACTTCCTTAGATACTGGCCTGTTTGTAGAGTCAAGTAGTTTTATTTATAATTCCCAGAATATATAGCTTCTTTTAGAATCTCTTTATCCCCATAAACTGCCTCGAGTTTAGCAAATGCTTTGCTTTAACTGAACTTAGGTTAATTTCTAGGAATACTCGTATGGCCAAAGATCTATACCTATGATTCATACAAGCCAATCCCCTCAAGGTGGCATTCCTGCCTGTTAGATCGCGAACAACCTTCAGGCAGCAGCGCAGCCACTCTGGCCGTAGCATGCATAAATCAATAACTTAAATGGTCAATTCCAGTGATCTGAACCCACACCCATGGAACCCCTGCTACCGTGCCACCGAATCAGAGCCTGCCTTCCCCATCTCAGCCATGTCACCATGTCGCTTCGTTCCGTTCCGGCTTGCTTCGATTGCAATTTACAATTTTACTCTTATTGGCGCATATTTCTTGGCTTGGCCAAGAGGTGGCTGCTTTTCCTGTTGGCCACCGAGAACTGGTTGTCCGAGCAGCAGTCCGGCAGCAGTCCGGCAGCTGCTGCCTGGCGTGGCCCAGGCCTGGGCCGGTTCGGCCGTGTTCCCGTTTTGACTAGTTGGCTTAAATGTAGCAATCAATTTATGCGCCACCAGTTGCAGCCCCAGTGAGCAGTGGCTGTGGCCTGTAGCTGCAGCTGTATCTGTATCTGTGGCCAAGTATCTCATAGATTGTATACAATCTGTTTTTTTTTCTATAACATTTATTTGTACTTGTATCTGGACTTTCACTTTTTATTTCTTGCTGTCTGTTGGTGGAGCGCGGGTTTTAATTGTTTGCCTTCTTTGGCGGGTAACGAGTCTTGGAACCAAACACAAGAAAAAAAACCCAAAAACATTCATTCAGATATAGGGATACATATGTATTTATATTTGTATCTGTATCGCTTGTGGTATGTGTCCATTATTTCAATAGCCATTCACTTTGCAACACACAGTCCTCTCTCTCTCTCTCTGTCTTTCTGTCTCTCTCTCCTCCACCCAAAACAGGCGCTAATGTGATTACAACAGACGAAAATTATTAAATCGCCAAAACGCCTGCAGCTGTGCCCCATTGTCTGTTGTGGGTAGCAGTCGCACCACAATGGAGCCACAGTCCACGGCCCGCCCTGGCCCCCGCCCATGGACCCCGCTCCAGTTTGCCCGCTTGCCTTCCTGTCCAACCGGTTCGATACACACTATCAGAGATCTAAGAATTCATATACTCTGGCCTTAATTGTGGGCTGTGTAATCCTTTTTCGACTCGATCTTTCTGGCCCTCGTGTTTCATTAAACGCATTGACATGAATACTTAATTATCTGCGTGTCTGAGTTGTCTTGAATTTCCTTCAGCTTAGGTCATATTTGGTATGGCAGACACGTACTTATGGTGTGTGGGTAAAAGTACTACGAGCTCCAGCACTATTCCCATGTTGAGGTTGTCCAAGGGTTATCAGAGTTCATGCCGCTTGGTTGTGCTTTTCTTTAAGCATCTAGGTATTGTTTGTGGAGGTTCGGAAGTGAAGTGGATATACTTTCAGATAGAAATTGGATTAAGGTTTAAGTGAGAATGATAGTTCCCAGTTCTATTGAGATGTCAGCTGTTTCTTCTTTAACATTCAACCTAAATCCGCTTTTGACATACTAATTATCAATTAATTTAGGTTGTTGTCCACTCCTCAAATGCTCAGATTAATGTCTCATTAGATGGCTTAAACAAAATGATAACAAAACCCGATAATTCCCAACTAGTTTCTGAAACAAATAGATACGAGTATATCTCAGGTTATATTCTCAAGTTAAGCTCCCGAATCGCATACTTCTTTCATGGCTAATACAAATCGAATGATATCTGAATGAAAAACAATGTATAAATGTATGAATCCAAGTTCAACCAGTCGAGGAGAACCATTCTAGCGGACATTTGACATTTAAGGGAGGCATCTGTGTGGAGAAGTCAAGATTTCTGTTGGACTCACATTGGCAGTGGGGCAACTTAATTGGTTTTTTGCCGACTGTCGTCTGCGTCTGTCGACTGTTCGTTGCTCAATTGCATATATACGTATAGGTATATATATGTTTTTTCCCATATCAAATTGATTTCGCATTTTTGAATTGCCAAAGAGTCGAACATCGAAGACTAAACGGGTTTTGATTTTGATATGAAACCGATAGGGGAGGCGGAGACGAGGAGATGATTTACCAATTGCCAGCAAACGAGATGCTAAATTATGCCACGGCAGTGATTAAATCAAAATTTAAGCACCAAATCAGACATCAATTTCAATGCGAAAAAGACCCAAATGAGTAGCAGCCGTACGACAAAAAGGTTGTGCAGACGACCGTGACAGGACTCGAACCTGCAATCTTCGGATTCGAAGTCCGACGCCTTATCCTTTAGGCCACACGGTCCCGTTGTAACGCCACGTTAGTTCCTGCCCTAAAAAGCGCAAAACGGGCGGCACACCTCTACGCTTTTGCCCAGAAAGCATCCGCACCCACCCACTCACACATGTCCCCGAACCACCCCGACCCACACACTGTCACACTCTCGCCCACCCACTCACCCACGCCCGAGCCAACCACCCAGATTGTGCGTTGCTTCTTGAGGGTGGATGACACCGAGTGCCGGCCACTGGGGGTGGCACATCCTATGACGCGCGCGTTGGACGTCCTTCTGCGCAGAATCTTTGACTGGGTGGCCAGTAGCAAACCCCACAGCATCCCTCGAGCAGTCAGCTGTTCTTGCGGCAGACCATCTGATTTCATCTGTTTGTCCAATTAAACAATTTCATAAAGATTGGATAGCTATTGCTCTCATGTTTGCCAGTCCGTCTCATGTGCTGCAGTACTCCTAAATGGTTCCCTAAATGCTCCTTATAACTCACAATTTAAACAATAATTTCTGAGTCTAGTTAGTTTTTCAAAAACACTCTAGATCTAGCAAATCAATAGTTTTTGACCGGTTACAAAATTTCTCGCTTTCCACTCCAAAAAAAACTTTAAAAAAGTTTTGTCAAAGCTTATTCCCTGCTAAATTATGAAGACCTCAGCAAACAAAAACACCATGTTGAAGAACCCAAAAATTGTCAAGACATCTCCCTCAACAGTGAAGACCGCGCCGCCTGGCAAAGCAGCTGCCAAGAGCTTTGATGTGGCCCAAGTGTGCAGTGTGGACCTGGGGAGCGATGGCGGAGTCCGGCTTCCGCCTCTAACGCTCCAGAGTCGGGTGGAGCCAGAGGACGTGGTGGATGCCCGTTTTCGGCTGGTGGAGGCGAGGTCCCAGACAGTGGTGCTCACCGATCGGCAGTTCGATGTTCACTTGAAGCGGCTGGTGAAGGTCTTCATGTCCGAGGTATCCATTACCAGGGACATGCGCGCACTTAACTCGAAGAGGTCGCTTCAGCCAGCCGACCGGCTGCTGTTGCAGGATCTGGAGATACTCAAGGGCAAATTCAAGGAGGAGCGATCCAATCTGGTGGTGACACTCAGCATGGATAGCAGAAACAGATCCAAGCTAAACTCTACCAAAGAAGCCAACACCCAGAGCCAAGATAAGCATGAAAGACCCTCTGATTCCGCTGATGATGTGATACCATCTACTAGTAAGACGTCCAAGCTTCGCAAGTGTTCAGTTCCATCAAGGAAACAAGGAGGAGCCCAACCAAAAGTACCATCCAATCCTCCATCCAATCCGGTGAAGACACTTAGCATGGGAAGCAGACACAGATCCCAAAAAAGTTCTACCACAGAAATCCAGCCTGAAGCCAACAACCAGGACCAAAAAGAAGAAGAACCTTCTGATTACTTTGATGTTGTGACACCATCTACTAGTATGACGTCAAGAAAACAAGGAGGCGCTCAAGCAAAAATCACTTCCAATCCTCCAATCATTTGCAAAAATATCGTAGCACCCGAAGAGCTGTCGATTAAGTTAATGGAAAAACTCAAGCAGAGGTTTGCCAAAACAACTGAAAGTCCTAAAATTAAAGTACCGCTATCCGCTCAAGAAAAAGAACCAGTAAATGAATCAAAAATGTATCTACCTAACGCTCCTGTAGCCGCTCCTGTAACTGCTCCTGTAGCCGCTCCTGTAACTGCTCCTGTAGCCGCTCCTGTAGCCGCTCCTGCAGCCGCTCCTGTAGCTGCTTCTGTAGCCGCTCCTGTAGCCGCCCGAGTAACCTCTTCAGTATCCTCTACGGCCAAGATCAAGGCTAAGGCCAAACCTAAAGAACTCTCAGAAAGTTTATCTGATATATTCTATGACTTTCCCATAGCAATCTATTAAGTGTACACTCCCCGTCATCTTCTTTAAATATTGGTTACAAAGAAAGTCTTACGTTCCAGTCTAAGTAATGAATGTTTTCCCTCTTTGTAATCAATCTTTGATTGAGGAAAATAAATGGTTAAAGTGTATGATCTGAAGTTTCGTTGTTGCCCATTTGTGATTTTGATTGACCTTTACTATAGTTTCGTTTCTTTGTCCGAAGGAAACCTTCTTTTATGTTCTTTCTGGAGAACCTCTGTTGAGTCTTTGCTCGTTTTGGTTTCAGAAATCTCTTCGCTTCCATCACCCTGCCAATACCAATTGGAATATCATCTTCAATTTGCCACATAATCATAAATATTGCACTAGGACCAGAATCTGGCACAAGGCCTTCTCTGTCACAGAACAATACGAGCAGCAGGGCTGCTTGCTAGTTGCAACTGCCAGTGAGACGAGTAATCGTACTTAATTACCATAAAAACACACTCCAAGAAAACGAATGAAGAGCCCCAGAGGCAGCATGAGTTCCGTGCCACATGTGGAACAACTGAGGCGTGTCCGAGCCGAATCCAAGAGTCGGCATCAAGTTGCGCATAAGTCTTACGTGTAGCATTGCTGTAGCCCCAAACAATTTATAAATTAACTTTAAGCTAAAATTACTAAAGTGAAAGTGAAGTTTTGATGGGAACTGGACACTGGACGGGGGAAGAGTCCGAAGTGCTTAAGAGATGACTCACTACTAACCGGAGTCGTGTAAGAGCTGGAATCCAGCTGGAAGAAGCTTTCAAGGTTCAAGCCAGACCTAAACCGGTATGCACTGCAGACTGGTTGGGTCAAAGGACGCTTGTCCTTGGGCAGCCAGAGTCCACATCCATTGTGTGGCCATAAATTGCATATCCATTAAAACCGGCTTATCGAGACACGACATCGACGTCAACGACTTGGGCTCAATTATTTTCCACTCTCCGACTCATTGCAGGCAACAACAACAGCACAACATACTCGTACATATTTGCAGAGCCATCTCCATTCGCACTCCAAGATTGGGCCAGCACGGGGCACGGGGCTAGCAGCAACCGTGGGAGATGTCTGCAATGCGGCATCGTCCGATGGCACCGCCAGGTCCGGGTGCCGGGGCCGGAGCCGGGGCGCCCGGGGATCATGGCGATAGCGATGACAACAACTTCACCGACGACGAGAGCTCGCCTCTGACACACGATATATACGGCGGCAGGTAGGTCTTCTCCCCCAAATTTATGCAAATTGCTGGCCTGGCCAGATGGAGGGAACCACCAACAAACAGCCGAAAGACAGCCGGAACTAAAGTGTCTCAGGCCCAGACAACTACCAGTATAATTAGCCCCTCCAGCTCTGTCTAGGCTCTTGTTTCACAATCACTTTCAGAGCAGGGCGGGGTCGAGTCGAGTCGAGTCGAGGCAATGAAATGCCGGAAGTGAAGATCATATAGCCAGCAAAGGCTATAGCCCAGTGTGCGATCATCGTAATAAGCAGTGATCAGTCGAGTGAAATATCTAGTTTACATCCCCATCCCCTATTCCTTTCTACTGGAAGAAATCTGTTACTTCCATGAATCTCTACCATACGTATGATGGAACTGTTGTTCAATAACCTCCAATCTGTCAATCATCCAATCCTTTCAGCCAACGCACGATACAAGAAACAAAGGGTTGGGATGTCTTCCGGGATCCACCGATCAAAATTGAAACAGGATCCACGGCGAATCAGGAGTGTCTAGAGCTAACCATCAAGATCTTGAAGATCTTTGCCTATATAATTACGTTTATCATAGTTTTAACCGGAGGTGTCATAGCCAAGGGCACCATGCTCTTCATGACCTCGCAAGTGAGAAAGGACAAGAAGATGGAGTACTGCAACAAAGACTTGGTATGTCCACATAGCAGATTCCGAGTCCATTTAGATTCCAATTGAATGATTCCCTTTCACCCCACCTCTTAGGGACGCGACAAAAGCTTTGTGGTGCGTCTGCCCGAGGAGGAGCGAGTGGCCTGGATCTGGGCTCTAATGATAGCCTATGCTCTGCCCGAGATTGGGGCTTTGATTCGATCCGCCCGCATCTGCTTCTTCAAGACCTTCAAGGTGCCCAAGACAGGGCACTTCCTGTTCGTCTGGCTGATGGAGAGCTTCAACGCGATGGGGACGGCGCTGCTGATGTTCGTGGTGCTGCCCCAGATCGATGCCATCCAGGGAGCGATGCTTACCAACTGCCTGTGCGTGATCCCAGGCATTTTTGGCCTGCTCTCGCGGACCTCCAAGGAGGGCAAGCGGTTCGTCAAGGCCATCATCGATCTGGCGGCCGTGGCGGCGCAGGTGACGGGTCTCGTCATCTGGCCTTTGCTGGAGAACCGCCGGGAGCTGTGGGTCATTCCGGTGGCCTGTGTGATGATCTCGTGCGGCTGGTGGGAGAACTACGTGTCGCCGCAGTCGTCTCTGGGCCTGGTGCGAGCCCTGGGACGCATCAAGGAGGAGATGCGCTACACGCGCTACTTCTGTCACATGTTCCTGTCGATCTGGAAGATCCTGCTGTTCTTCTGCCTCGCTTTGCTCATCTACTGGGCCCAGGGCGAGGAACCCGGCAATCTATTTGCCATGTACGGCGACGCCTTCGGACCGCACAAGATCATTGTCTACGAGCTGCCAGCGGGTCTGGGCGGAGTCCTACCCGACACCCTGGAATCGGCCAACATAGACACGGTCGAGGTGGACGCCGCCTACAATACGGTGGTCTATGTCCTGCTCCTGCAGATCTTTGGCGCCTATTTGTGCTACATCTTTGGCAAGTTCGCCTGCAAGATCCTCATCCAGGGCTTCAGCTATGCCTTCCCCGTGAGCCTAACCGTTCCCCTGGCCGTCACCCTACTGATTTCGGCCTGTGGCATCCGCATCGATGATCCATGCTTCTTCCACGACACCATACCGGACTATTTGTTCTTCACGAGTCCCTCGAACTTCCGCTTTAACAACTTTGTGACGGAGCAAATGGCCTGGGCGTGGATCCTGTGGCTCCTCAGCCAGACCTGGATAGCCCTGCACATCTGGACGCCTAAGTGCGAGCGTCTGGCCACCACGGAGAAGCTGTTTGTGAAGCCCATGTACTCCTCCCTGCTGATTGATCAGTCCATGGCTCTCAATCGAAGACGCGACGATCAGGCGGACGTGAAAACGGAGGATCTGTCGGAGATTGAAAAGGAAAAGGGCGATGAGTACTATGAAACCATATCAGTGCACACCGATCGCTCTTCTGCCCCGAATAAACCCTCGATCAAGTCCTCGGACAACATCACCCGCATCTACTCGTGTGCCACCATGTGGCATGAAACCAGGGACGAGATGATTGAGTTCTTGAAGAGCATTATGCGGATGGACGAGGACCAGTGTGCGCGCCGCGTGGCCCAGAAGTATTTGCGAGTGCTAGACCCGGACTACTACGAGTTTGAGAGTGAGTAAAGACACCATCAATCCTGCATTGATAGAGCCTAACCGTTGACTGTTCTTCCAGCTCACATCTTCTTCGATGACGCCTTTGAGATCTCCGATCACAGCGACGATGACATCCAATGCAATCGTTTCGTTAAGCTCTTGATTTCCACCATGGACGAGGCAGCCTCGGAGATACATCAGACCACGATACGGTTGCGTCCGCCCAAGAAGTATCCCACCCCGTATGGCGGCCGCCTGGTGTGGACACTGCCCGGCAAGACCAAGTTCATTACCCATCTGAAGGACAAGGACCGTATTCGTCATCGCAAGCGCTGGTCCCAGGTCATGTACATGTACTATCTGCTTGGACACCGCCTCATGGAGCTCCCCATATCGGTGGATCGCAAGGATGCCATTGCGGAGAACACCTACCTGCTGACCCTGGACGGAGACATTGACTTCAAGCCGAATGCGGTTACCCTGCTGGTGGATCTGATGAAGAAGAACAAGAATCTGGGCGCCGCCTGTGGCCGCATCCATCCGGTGGGCTCTGGGCCCATGGTGTGGTACCAGCTGTTCGAGTACGCGATTGGTCATTGGCTGCAGAAGGCCACCGAACACATGATCGGCTGTGTGCTCTGTTCCCCCGGCTGCTTCTCCCTGTTCCGTGGCAAGGCTCTGATGGACGACAACGTGATGAAGAAGTACACGACGCGATCGGACGAGGCCCGGCACTATGTGCAGTACGATCAGGGCGAGGATCGTTGGCTCTGCACCCTGCTCCTCCAGCGCGGCTATCGTGTGGAGTACTCGGCTGCCAGTGATGCCTACACCCATTGTCCGGAGGGCTTCAACGAGTTCTACAACCAGCGACGTCGCTGGGTACCCTCGACCATTGCCAACATCATGGATCTGCTGGCAGACGCGAAGCGCACGATCAAGATCAACGACAACATCTCGCTGCTGTACATCTTCTACCAGATGATGTTGATGGGCGGCACCATCCTGGGACCAGGCACGATCTTCCTTATGTTGGTGGGTGCCTTCGTGGCTGCCTTCCGCATCGACAATTGGACCTCCTTCCACTACAACATCGTTCCGATTCTGGCCTTCATGTTCGTCTGCTTCACCTGCAAATCCAACATTCAACTATTTGTGGCACAGGTGCTATCCACTGCGTATGCGCTGATTATGATGGCGGTGATCGTGGGTACGGCGTTGCAGTTGGGCGAGGATGGGATAGGTTCTCCCTCGGCCATCTTCTTGATATCCATGGTGGGGTCATTCTTCATAGCCGCATGTTTGCATCCCCAGGAGTTCTGGTGCATAACATGCGGCTTGATCTATCTGCTGTCCATACCCTCCATGTACCTGCTGCTCATCCTCTACTCGATCATCAATCTGAATGTCGTCTCGTGGGGCACCCGCGAGGTGGTGGCCAAGAAGACCAAGAAGGAGCTGGAGGCCGAAAAGAAGGCCACCGAGGAGGCCAAGAAGCGGGTCAAGCAGAAGAGCATGCTCAGCTTCCTGCAGAGCGGCATCGGCGACAATGGCGACGAGGAGGGCTCTGTGGAGTTCTCCCTCGCCGGACTCTTCCGCTGCATCTTCTGCACTCATGGAAAGACCTCCGACGAGAAGCAGCAGCTGACGACCATTGCCGAGTCCCTGGACACGATCAAGCAGCGCATGGACACCATCGAGAGTGCCGTCGATCCTCATGGACATCATGCCTCGCGGCACAACAGGCGCAGGACCACTTCCAGCGGCTCCAAGGATCACCATCTGCTCACTTCGGTGGCGGAGAAATCAGGCGATGAGTCGGACGTATCCGATTCGGATACTTCGGCAGAGCCCAAGCAGGAGCGCGACTTCCTCACGAACCCCTACTGGATCGAGGATCCTGATGTGCGCAAGGGCGAAGTGGACTTTTTGTCGAGCACCGAGATTCAGTTCTGGAAAGATCTCATCGATCAGTATCTCTATCCCATTGACAATGATCCCGCGGAACAGGTATGTTACGAAGAGTCTTGGAAGGGGCTTTTGTTGGGGAAGACTTTGTACCCTTGCAGATGCGGTATGAAGCATTTTTCAAGGGTATTCCGAGAGAAACTTTTCAGTTTTTAATGCAATCTGCAAGGGTAGCTAAAGATTCGGTCCTCCGAATCTATCATCTCTTTGAGTATTACTTTCTTTTGTTAACAAAAATTAAAAAATGATCCCCAAACCAAATCGAATCGCATCGCATAACACTCTTGTAGGCCCGCATAGCAAAAGATCTGAAAGAGCTGCGCGACTCGTCGGTGTTCGCCTTTTTCATGATCAACGCGCTGTTTGTGCTGATCGTGTTCCTGCTGCAACTGAACAAGGACAACATCCACGTGAAGTGGCCCTTTGGCGTCCGCACCAACATCACCTACGACGAGTCCACCCAGGAGGTAAAGAAACCACTGCATGCCGTACTAACACAACTCTCGTTTTTCTCGTTTTCTTTCTTTTGCCAATTTGTGGAACGATTTGAAGGCCCGCATTGCCTCCGATCTGATTGAGCTGCGGAACAAGTCGGTGTTTGCGTTTTTCATGGCCAACGCCTTGTTCGTGTTGATTGTATTCTTGTTGCAACTGAACAAGGATAAATTGCATATCGTTTGGCCGTTGGGCGTTAAAACGAACATTACCTATATCGAAGAGACATCTGAGGTTTACAAAAAATGTTACTTATATGATGTTCTATCTAACCACTGAATCACTGAACCACTGAGCCACTCTGTGTGTTTGCGTGTGCCTCAAAAGGGTCTGTCTCCTCCTCTAACTTCCCGCCTGTCCCACTCTCTGTCTCACTCTATGTTTACCACAACATGCCACATCACACCCAAAAGCTAATGATGTTCTTTGTTCTTGTTCTTATACGTACTCCCCTTGGTTGAACCCCATCCTAATGGTTCAGGCATATCATACGAAACAAATAAATACTCGTGCATCATGTAAAAACAAATCTTACAACCACACATTGACATTGACATCACAATGGTTTCTAACAGTTATCCCCTCTCCTCTCCCAAAGAAAAAGGAAACACGGTTAACTGAAAGCCATATATATACTAAGTATATCTGTATAATCCAAGATATCTATCTGTACACATGCCCAGAGCCATGGCTGGCGGAGCCACAAAAGCATGTTTCATTGTTCCTACATACTCGTATAACCTCCTACTCGTACCTCCCCCAAATGGTATCACACTTCAACATGCCACAATCACCGACAATTGGTATTATGTTCAGCCATTTATCCGAGCCCAAAAACCAATCTACCAATCTACCAATCAAATTGTTCAATGTCACTAACCCAAATGGTACTCTGCTGAACAGTCCACTAATTCGCAATGATTTCACAGGTTCACATCTCCAAGGAGTATCTGCAGTTGGAGCCCATAGGTCTGGTCTTTGTGTTCTTCTTTGCCCTCATTTTGGTCATACAATTTACGGCCATGTTGTTCCATCGTTTTGGCACCATCTCGCATATTTTGGCCTCCACTGAACTGAACTTTTGCAAAAAGAAATCGGAGGATCTCACACAGGATCAGCTTATAGATAAGGTGAGTCCACATATCTGGAAATATTTCCAAGCCACAATCCACTTACATCTTTGTATTTCCTTCCAGCATGCTGTGGAGATCGTCAAGAATCTGCAGCGATTGCAGGGCATCGATGGGGACTATGATAATGATTCTGGTTCTGGACCCGATCGTATAGCCCGCCGCAAGACCATCCAGAACCTGGAGAAGGCCAGACAGCCTCGTCGTCAAATAGGCACCCTGGATGTGGCATTTAAGAAACGATTCCTCAAACTGACTGCCGATGCAGAGAATAACCCTGCGACGCCCATTCTCACGCGTCGGCTGACCATGAGGGCCGAAACCATACGGGCACTGGAGGTGCGAAAGAATTCAGTGATGGCCGAAAGACGCAAGTCGGCCATGCAGACACTGGGGGCGAAGAATGAGTACGGGATTACCACAGGGGCACCGGTAAGAAACGAAGAGAAGAAGGATCTTGAGAAGAGAGATATTCAAAGATGGTTTGTGCATTCCCTAGGTTAACAACAATGGTGGTCTGCCCAACCAGAGAAGTGGTCGCGTTTCGAATGCTGGCATTAGCATCAAAGATGTGTTCAATGTGAACGGCATTCCGCCAGAGGTGAGTTCTATATCAGGATAATGCCGCCATAGAACTGATAAATAATCTTCCATTTAACAGCAAATTTATGGCTCTAATGGCGGGGGCACTATCAATCAGGGCTACGAGCATGTCATCGATGAGGACGGCGATGGCAACTCGCTGCGTCTGACCACTCGCAATCCCCATCCGCATCCCCAGGTATCCTGGGGCCAGAACACTAGCGGCGGCAACGCCACGGGACGCCTGTAAACTACGTATATTTGTAAGCTAGAAATCTTGTTAACGAATTCCGCCTCTTTCCATAAACTGACTAAACATAGACCTGTATATCTAGAGCTATAGTCAAGAACATATTGTGTTGTACATACTCGTTATTAGAGACATGAGAATAGATAGAGAGAGAGAGAGAGAGAGATATAGGACATTGCTGGAGCCTTGTCGACACAACGAACATAATGCTTAGCTAATCACACTGCCAGTGACGATGTGTGGGCCCGATTATATGCTACGATATATATCGTCAGAACATTCCCGATGTGTTGCACAACAATGGCAACAACATTCATACTATGTACTATACTACATCATTTGTTAGGTTATGTTTAAGTCAATCTGTGTGGATGCGCCGAGCCCTGTGCGGCGGAGCGGACACACTGCCAGTGCATGCTGACACAAAATACTCATCGCTCGGATCTGATTCGAAAGTGCAGCAGTGAAATTACCTATTTATAAATATTCCATATAATACTGAAATAGTAGTTCTTTTGTAATAATTGAGTACAACTTTTGATACGATAAATAAATGAGAATATCGAATCCAAGTGAACCAGTAGATCTGCAGGATCTACTCGTCAACTAGCAGATACACACAGACTCTCTTGTTGTTTCTGGCTTTGAGCCCTCGTTTAATATGAATAACTTTATTTGGTGGTGTAGTATGGGGACTGTAAATATTTGTATAGACTCTGCTTGGAAGCTCCACTGAGCGGGACAACATTAATAACCAACTATGATAGCTAATAATAGTAGTAGACACCCAAATACCGAAAACGAATTAAATATGCTTCGTAGATGTGTGAGTTTACGTGAGGACCCAACACCCAATCGCTTAGTGGAAGAGCATGTTGCCCTTCTTGGCGGCTATGGGCAGGCGATCGCCCTGGAGGAACGGATTCATGACAGCGTCCATGCGTGGATCGGGCATGGCCGGATAGCCGGCCTTCTTTACCAAACTGTTAACATTGTTGAGGCTATTCTCCTGGCCCATCTGGAGGATGTACTGCTCCACGGCCGAGTTGAGGTCGCCTTTGTCCGAGCCAGAATCGGCACTGTCCTGCTCCGAGCAGTCGAACATATGCTCGTTGTCGCAGGTGCAGTCCTGGGCAGCCTGGAACTCGCGACTGAAGATGGCCGTGTTTTCAAAGTCCATTAGGCAGCTGCCTCCCTGGGAGTCCATGTCATAGCCCTCAGGGCAGGGATTGGGTGGATTGCAGTAGGCTGGCAAGCCAGCATCGTTCTTCACAATATTGTTGAAGCGGTTGGGCCCCTCGCCCATGCCGCCCGAGATGAACTGGTGCCCCCAAAGCGAGCTGTGCTGCAGGAATTCGTGATCCCGCAGCGAGGGATTCGAGTTGACAGCCGACTGCAGCACACAGTCGCTGCCACCATCGCACAGCCTGGAATACTCTGATCGAGAGACGAGATCCACATTGTCCTTGGGCGCAACGGCTGCCATATCGCCATCATTGTCCACATCGTAGTAGCCTACCTGCATGTCGTTATCCATGCGATTGAGCAGATCCGTCAGCAGAACATCAGCGAAAATGTTATCCTTCGAGCCATAGGACTGCACCTGCGAGCCCCCCGACACCAGAAGGAGCATGTAAATCAGCATTTTAAGACCTGAAAATCGTCGAATGCCATTTATTCAGCTTAAATTATATATTTTTCACTATTTTTAAAGAACTCACTTTGCGACCGGGACAACATATTGCGCATTTTCACTGAAATATCACTGTCCACGTAGAAGTTTGGTAAGTTTATTGATTTTTCGGGCGCCAGCTGCTTGAAACACTCGGGTATCTGTATGTATAACAATGTTATACGGTTGGTTCTCTCGGTGCCGATGTGCTGACTACCAGTTGAATACTCAGAATACTCGAAAAGTGCATTCCCAGCCCTCTTTATAAATCATTTAAAGCTGATAAGATGGTGAAAAAAGTGCGCAGGCGCGGTCTATGAAAGCTTTTTCGGGTTGGGAAAGTCCTACCTCCAGAAAAGCATACTTAAATGTTATAGAATTGAAACAACAGTATTTTAAATATGTACTAGGCAATACAAAAAGAACCACATCAGGAAACTATGCACTACATAGTATATGCACTTTCGTGCATAGTGCATATGTATGTGGTCAGCCAATTTAATTCCCTTCAACATTGAAAAAAATACAAATTTAAAATGGAAAATCATACTTTGATTCTCAAAGAGATTCTTAGTAGGAAATAGTTCCAATAAATCCAGAATAATGATTTGAAAGATTAATCACTGTCTAAGATACCCATCAAATCAATTTCATCCTGAATTTTTTTAAGAGCGCGTTTGTGATTCTTTGATTGCTTATGTGCCACCAGGAGCGGTTTGGTCATGAAACCCTTGCTGCATGGCTCACATTTGTATTTCATATTTGTGGCCGTGTGTGTGGCATGATGTTCACTTAGTTCCGAAACACAGGAGAATATCTTTCCGCACTGCAGACAGGGATAAGGTCGTTCATTTTCATGGGCTCTGTAGGAGTATATAAATTAAATTAATTAAGTGTCAGAAAGTGCTCCTTTTTATTGTCTTACTTTTCATGGCGTAGCTTGGCATCCATTGAAACGAACACTTTACCACAAGTCGAGCATTTGAACTGCCGCCATTGCCCATTATGGAATTGTGAGCGATGCTGTTTCAAATCCGTCTTTTTCGTGAAGGTTTCCGGGCATTCTGTACATGGGAAGAACATCTTCATTTCCTTCCGTTCTTGATGCGCATCCAAGTGCTCATTGTAGGCGTATTCGTCGTCGTAGAACTGACCGCATTGTTCACATATGAAGAAGTTACGGCGTCGCTTTGCTACTCGTCTCATCTGCTCTTCCTTTATCTCAGCTTTGTACGCCTCTTCCGCTGCGATAAGCACAGCCGCCTGGGCATCCTCATCGTCCTCTACGTCATCCCCTTCGACAAACCCCAAGAGCTCCATGTCATCGTTATTGGTTGGCTCCAATTGGTCCGCATCAATTTCGATTTCGTGGAGCTCCGGAATTGGAAACTTCCTGCGGTCCTCTTCAGTGGTCTTCATGACCATCTCCAGCAAGTACTTTTGGGAGAAGATGCAACGCTCGCGAAACTTCACAGCAAGATCCAGTTCGGAGAAGCAGCGCTCGCAGATAAACTCCGGCAAACCTTGATTGGTAGACAACTGGAAAGGACAATGTATAATGTAACAATAACATTAACATTGCCATTGATTACATTACCTCGACACCAGTTATCATCTTCAGTTGGCAAAGCAGCTTTCCGCGCATGTATTTGAACAAATGTCTTTCGCGTTTCTTGTCCTTTATTTTATTAGCGCAAATCCGGCAAACTAGTTTGATATCCATGATATTTATTTATTTATTTATAAAAACTTTACACGCAAATGATGTGACCCTGAGATGAGCCATAGAGATGAGCACCGATAGCGATGGCGTGTATTGGTATCGTATCGTGTGCACTGTCGTCAAATAAGCTATTTTATTGCTAATTTTCACTATTTCAAGTTTCATGGATATACTATTTTGCAACTAAATTCCTCGCAACTTAAAGCTGTGCAGCTAAAAGTTAATAGAATGTTTTATTCAATAAATACAATTATACTATATCGATGCTCAATGTATCGATACCAGCCAACCAGCTGTTGAATTGTTTTTGATTACGGTCACACCGAAGTGGAAATTTGCGCGGGATATTTGCTGAATTGCAAATTTTTATATTATTTTAACCATACCATACGCCATGTCCAGCGACGCTACACTAGCATCCAAATGGACCCGTCCAGATGATGTGCGCATTAAGTGAAAATTTCAGCTCAGATAAACCAAAACATATATGTAAATCTCTGGAATTTTGCAGTTTATCAAGCTCCAACGGCTTAAACAAAAGAAGAAACAATTGGCAGCACGTGTAAGCAATAACAACAATTGCAAAAGGCCAACACTACAATTGGATGAGACTGATAAGAGCAAACTTTTAGAAGCAAAACTAGCGCAGAAAAGAAAGAATCCCTTTGCCAAGTGAGTGTTCATGTTTAATTTTGTAGATCAGCTGTTGACCTAAAAACCATATGAGCTACTTCTCTCAGATCCACAGAAGTTGCGAAAAAGCAGAGAGTTGAGGCCGAGGTCCACGACCTGCCTGTGGTCACGGCCTCCTCCTGCTTTGTCCGAGAGACGCCCACACGTCCGCCGGCGGCCAAGCTTGTGCTACAGAAATTCGATGCCCAGGCCTTTGCCAAGCTGCTGCAGCAGCCGTACGCCGAAGAGGAGGACGATGCCGCCCTGGCTGCTCAACAGAAGCACACAGCGCATCTGCCTGTGGACTGGTGCCTGAAGACGCGCGCTCGCTTCTTTTGCCCCACGGAACTGCCTGCCATTCAGTTGAAGACCTCCCAGCTGGCCAGCGGACTGACCAGCTTCGTGCGCTGCATCGACACCCAACAGTCGGAGAGCACGCTGGACATCTCGGATGCCACGCGTTTCAACCAGTGCACCTACTACTGGCAGCATCCGCATCTGCCCTGGCTGACGCTCTACCCGCGCAACTCCAAGGAGAACATCGGTGTGACGGTCGGCGAGCGCGAACGGAAGGCGCTGGCCGAGGAGTGGGACTACAGCTTCCGCGGACTCTTCCAGTTGCTGCGTGCCCGCCAGTGCCCCTACTTCTATTTGTGCGCCAACTCGTTCACGGTGCTGTTCCGGGCAGCGGGAATTGGCGGCCGCGCCGAGAGCCATGCCCTTGTCACACCCTCCACGCGTGGCATGAGGATGGCCCTGCGCCAGGAGGGAATAGAGTTTACCATGCCCCTGAAGAGCGAAGCAGGTGGTGGCGATGGCAGCTTCACAGAGGAGAGCAGCAGCAGCTCTACGATGGATGCACCAGAGGAAGCTTCGGTGCCTCCTCCTACCGGAGAAGACGATGAGGACGATGATGAGGCCTGGCTGGAGAGCTTGGGCGTCGACGAGCGAGAACTACGACGCATACAGTCCTCCCACGCTAGGAAACAGCAGGCAGCCGAGATGCGAGAGGATTTCAGCGACAACTCGCTGCTGCTCATTGATGGAGTGGAGTGCCAAGGATTCTTCAGCTATCTGCTGAATGCCAAGAGCGCCATCAGCAATGTGGGTCGTCTGGCGGGAGTACCACCCACTCTGCTCTCGCCAGTTGCATTCCCGAAGGCTACCATGCAGCACCTGGTGCCGCGCTCCAAAAAGGTTCGACTCGATGGCGTGGATTACTTCAGCATCGACATCAAGGGACTGATCCTGCCCACATTTCTGCCCAGCGTGGCGGAGCTGCTCTGCGAGACGCGCCAGATGTTCAGCTCCACTCTGGCCAGCAGCACCAATACATTGGCCTTCAGCAAGGCCTCGCAGAAAGTTTTGGATTCGCCAGAAGCGCCTCAGGAGGACCGAAAGGAAGGCACCGCGGCCGACCAGGTGTTTGGCGAGCAGAATCTCTCAGAGTGCGGCCTCCTGCCATCCGTGGTGGGCTCTATCTGTCGCACTGGCCAGCATGCTGTCGGACTTCTAGAACGTGTGTGCTATCAGCGGGGCGAGGGCTATGCTTGGAGTTGATTAATTCGAGCCAGTTGGCCAACAGCTTGTCTTAAGTTGTATATTTGTTGTATGTAATAAAGTTGCTATGTATGTATTGCTATGTATATACCCCGCTCTAGTTGTCCACCATGATGAGCTCGTCGATGCTCCAATCCTCGTAGGAATGATCAGGTAGATAGCGGCGTATGATGATAGGTATCTTCTTCTGCTTCAGTTCTTTCATGGCGATCTGCAGGGGATCCGTTTCGCCGTCCAGCTCCACCATGATGGGTGCGCACATGGCAATCTGCAGAGCCCGCGTGCCCAGGACGCGCGCACGCTCATATTTCGTCATGTATTTGGTGGTAATGCGCTTCGACTTGGGCACACCGCCGCCCCCTGTTCCACCGGGCGCAATAATCTCAATGTTATCCGCCTCTTCCTCCGGATTAATATCTTCATCTACATCCTCGTCAACGTCGTCGAAATCGTCTCCACCAACGCTGTAAGAGTCAGAGACCATGTGGTGGAGTCCGGGTGGAATATTGAGACTTTTCAGTGATACTTACTCATCATTGCCGTAATCCTCTTCATCCATAGTATAGTTTGGTTTTAATATCAATTAATAAGTGATTTAGAAATAAAATAGCTTTTTATTCGGCGTGTTTTCGCGTGTTTTCACCAGTATGACCTTATCGATAAAATATACCGTCCGACCCTTAGAAATATTCCGAAACATACCGTCTCATTTGGAAAATATACCGTAAATATACTGACGAATTCAGTTCATTTATACATATTACTCGTTTTTGATATTCCGTCGAATATTACTAGCTAGATAGAACTCTCAGCCCTGCCCAAATAATTTAATCCGAGCAATGAATCAATTTTCTACTTAACTGACTTATTTTACATACTTGCTTTTATTGGAAAGGTCAACAAAATAAAACGTAAGAGAAAAATCGTTCCTACTGCTTAATTTAGATATTCCGTTGAATAATGCTGAATAAACCCTTAGATCTGTCCATATAATTGATTTCCTGTATATCCTGATCCCGATACTTATTTTTCGTCTCTGTAAGAAGAAAATAAGTTGCAAAATATTGTGGAAATTCAAGAAAATATACAGTCAAGGAAAAAAGTCAACATACATCGCAAATTTTGAGATATTTCGGAGTTTTGCAATGAAAATCAAAAAAGTTGTTTGCCATTATTTGAGGTATTAATGGATAGTGATTTATTAGATTATTAAATTATTCGACATTTCGCCGACGTTCAACGTTAACACCTGGTTTTGGAGATTTCTGATTGCGAAAGTAGAAGCCGTTTGGTTGGCCCGTTTCAGCTTACCCGTGAGGGAAGGAAGGTATATTTTGTCCTGGAGATTGCGGCGATGGTGGATTTTCCGGATAATTTCGCGGGAGCGGGCGTGGCGGGTTCTCATTGCCCGGAATCTGAGCATAGTCATAATCGATGTGAGTGCGTATATTAACATTTCGCAGACGCCCGATACCACCACGCTGATCACTGTCAAATCGATCTGGATCAAAGTTAGCCATTGGATTCATCTCCGGGGCTCTTCGGGATGTGCACGGGTGTTGGTAATACTGATCGAAAGGTTCGTTTATACCCGCCCCATGACGGGCTTGTCCTATACGCTGTAACGGTCTGATCGACTCGTTTGGTTGTGCGCGAGCATCGGTATCGATAGCTGCTGACGCTGCTTCCGAAGATTCCCCAAAGTCGCACCTCGGACCCAGCGGATCCATCTGATCCGAATCCACCGGATCCAGCGAATCCATCGTATTGGCCATCTGTCTGCCCAACACAGGCACGGGATACGCATTGGGGTAACATTTTCCCCCACCTCTGTGACTTCTATGTCCGCTTTGTCCTCTTTGCCCGCATTGCCCTTGCTTAAAGCATCGCACCTGAGCTGGTGGCCGCTTTGATCTCTGGCACCCCGAATCCGTCTGCCGTCGACTGCTCTCTGGAGGCGGCTGCTTGCTGCATCTCTTTGTACGCTTAGAAACAGGCGGAGCCGATTGCTCGAGATAGATATTGTCATCGTCCAAATTACAGTTTTCATGGTCAAAGGATCGGTCTTGAGTTCTTGCTTCGGGAGGGAAACAGACCTGCTGAGCAGCTGGCCTCATCGGTGGAGCCATAGTCGCCTTACAGCAGCAGAGCATTTCATTGCCGAAACCACCCCTCTGGCCATGGTCAACGGACCGCTCTTGAGTTCTTGGTTCAGGGGGAGAACAGACCTGCTGAGCTGCTGGCCTCATCGGTGGGGCCATCGTCGCCTTACAGCAGCAGATCATTTCATTGCGGAAACCACCCCTCTGGCCATGGTCAACGGACCGCTCTTGAGTTCTTGGTTCGGGAGGGGAAGAGACTTTCTGAGCTGCTGGCCTCATCGGTGGAGCCATCGTCGCCTTACAGCAGCAGAGCATGTCCTTGCCGAAACTATCCCTCTGGCCATGGTCAACGAACCGCTCTTGAGTTCTTGGTTCGGGAGGAAAACATACTTGCTGAGCTGCTGGCATCATCGGTGTCGGGTTCTTTGGTATACAGTAGCAGAGCATTTCAGTGCCGAAACTAGCCCTCTGCCCATCCGTCTGGTCTAAGGATCGCTCTTGAAATCTTGGTGCGGAGGGGGCACAGAATTGCTGAGCTGCTGACCTCATCGATGGAGGCATCGTTGGCATGCAGCAGCACTGTGGAAGCACATAAACTGGCGTCCAGTCCATAGGACAGACATTGTCAAAATTTGTGGCACCAAACTGAACGCTTGCTGGAGGCAGGAGCGCCGGAGGACAGAAGCTAGTATCATCGTTGAAAGTCTGGGGACTTGGCCGTGGCCGAACCGCCGGTGGCTGCTGCGGGCGACATTGCGGTGGCGGAGGCTGGTCCGAGCAACAGCTGCAGGTACTGTCATTGGAGCAACTATCGGATGACAGGTCACAATCCGATCGCTCCGAACTGTAGCTGGAGTGGTTCCCTAGCGAAATAGATCGGATTGAGATTGGGTTGGATTTTGTTGTGTGCTTTATGCTGGCTGTTACTTGCCCATTGGCTATAACATTTGGTTTATTGTTGGCGCATATTGAGAGGTTTGAGAAGGCCGAGAGTGGGATATTGAGAGAAAACTGAAAATTTGGATAGCTATGAATTTAGAAATGTGTTCCATTGCCCTTGGCCGAGTGTTTGCCTTCGCAAGTAGCGCCTGCTACGCCTGTTCAAGCCGATCATCCATTATTGAACAACACAACTACTGCCTTTCGAGCTTTGATTGCAGTGTCCGCAGTGGTAGCGACTTTGGCCAGCGGGCCTCTCTCGAATCGCAGGGTTTTCTGCTTCCAAGTGTCCCGGAAATCCTGGTGGTGGGCCTCGGTACACTTTACACCCACCGGTTGGGGGTCCTTGCGGTACTACTCGTGCTGGCTGATGTTGCACTTCGTTCTCCGTAATTATCGTTACGCTACCAGTCATCCCGCACGGGCACTGTTTGCACTTGTTGGATTTGGCTTCTGCGCAGATAAAATCAGATTAATCAGATCAAGTTCGTTAATACAAATTAATTTTTACTTACTACGACCCATTTTAGATCAAATGTAGACGTAGACACAAGCAGGGCAACGAACACAATGAACACAATGAACACAATGAAACAGATCTGGCAACTGCTAAGACTGTTGAAAGTGCTCCGTAAGTAAGACACTTAATACATGGCACCTTTCTCGTGCTCTTTTTCGTTTCCTTTACATTTTATACCCGATACAAAGAGTATAGGGGTATATTTCTTAGTTTTGTGGTGGAAGTGGGCGTGAGCAGCCCCCAGAAGGAATCGTTTCCGACCCTGTGATATCCCACTGTTCAAAGTATCTATACAAATTTCGACCTGCCCCTTTCCTCCCCCACATCCACGTTCTTGAAGATACGAGTAATCCAACTACTGCAGTGGCTACGCAAAGCCTTCCACTGGCTTACTCACTATCTCCCTCTCTATCACACACTCCTCCTCGTACAGTGTGCGTGCTATGGCGGAGGTGAGCGAAAATTCTAATCAAATAGGTCATTAGGTGGAAAGAGGATAAGCAAAGATCTAATTCATCCCATGACAATTGCGAGCAAATTTCAAAGAGATCGCTTAGAGATCCCGCCTCTCCTTTAGGAGAGAACAGCGATACAAAAGTATCGTAAAAGCATAAAAGTAAATGTATGATATCCAGATGGAAAATTCTTGGATCTTTTGACCTGATGTCCTGCAGCAAGCAGAGTTTCTTATGTAAAAGTACTTAGCTTTAAATTACACAAATAAACCCCCCGGAAGTTTATACCACTCTATCCTGCTCGAAACGGTAGTTGGCAAAATAATCCCTACCAAAATAAGTTCCAGAATTGGAAGGAAGTTGGTTGTACGTGTATGCTACCTGGCCACAAGCTATAACATTTGGTTTATTTTTCGCAGTTTGTTGCTGAAAGGTTTAGAAATGCCGAGAGTAAGGCAAGATCTGGGATATCGAAAGAACACTGGAAATTTGGATAGCTTTAAAACTGCCCTTGGCCGAGTGTTCAACAGATCCATCATAGAATAACGCACTTCTTTTTTGAAGAACTGCACCTTCCGCAGGTCTTTTTGCAAGGGGATGAGGATTTCGGTGGAGGATCCGCCACTGATTGGCACCATCGACACCCCTCGGATTGTGATTGCCCGTGAGCTGCTGGCACTACCTGTGCTGCTGGTACTGCTTGTGGTTGGTATCCAGGCGGTAAAATTACCGTTACGCTACCAGTCAGCTTGCACTTACATCGTTTGCCCTTGTCGGAGCTGGACTCTGCACAATTAAAGTGTGGTAGGACAATGCGAATTTATTAATACACATTCGCTTATACTTACTGCGACCCATTTTATCTCAGCCTGGCCAAGGCAACAACATACAGGCCAAAAAACGCAAGGAAACAGATCTGACAGCTACTAAAGTTGTGGAAAATATTTCTTTTATAATAAACTTAATCTTGACAACTTTCTCGTCGTTTTTTTTTCGCTTTATTTGCTCAACTCGAACCTTCTACTGAAACGTTTCGGTCTCGTGCGGAGTCGCGTTTTTTTAATTTTCTACCGTTTCCATTAGCGTGCTACTGGAATCTGTAATGCATATAATAAACCTCCCCAATCTGTCCCTCTCCAAGAAATTCCGGAATTGAATGGGATTTTGTTGTGCTCTTATGCCTGCCCATTTAGCTATAACATTTGGTTTATTTTTCGTAGTTTGTTGCTGAAAGGTTTAGAAAGGCCGAGAGTAGAAATGTCTACCATTGCCCTTGGCCGAGTGTTTCTGTAGCGCCTTCTGCTCCTGTTCAACATATCCCTGGGTTAACGACTCCATCATAGAATAACGCACTTCTTTTTGGAAGAGCTGCAGCTTCTGCAGGTCTTTTTGCAAGAGAATGAGGATTTCGGTGGAGGATCCGGAACTGATTGGCACCATTGACACCCCTCGGATTGTGATTGCCCGTGAGCCGCTGGCACTACCTGTGCTGCTGGTACTGGTTGTGGTTGGTATCCAGGCGGGCACGCACATTGTTTGTCCTTGTCGGAGCTGGACTCTGCACAATTAAAGTGTGGTAGGACAATGCGAATGTATTAATACTCATTCGGTTATACTTACTGCGACCCATTTTATCTCAGCCTGGCCAAGGCAACAACATACAGGCCAAAAAACGCAATGAAACAGATCTGACAGCTACTAAAATTGTGGAAAATATTTCTTTTATAATAAACTTAATCTTGACAACTTTCTCGTTGTTTTTTTTCGTTTTATTTGCTCAACTCGAACCTTCTACTGAAACGTTTCGTTCTCGTGCAGAGTCGCGTTTTTTGAATTTTCTACCGTTTCCATTAGCGTGCTACAGGAATCTGTAATGACTTTGAAACTCTATACAAAGCTTCCTTTATGCATATAATAAACCTCCCCAATCTGGCCCTCTCCAAGAAATTCCGGAATTGAATGGGATTTTGTTGTGCTTCTTATGCCTGCCCATTTAGCTATAACATTTGGTTTATTGTCCACATTTTGTTGCTGAAAAATTTAGGGAAGCGTAGAGTAGCTTAGCTGGGTTGCTGAAGCAGCACTGAGAATTTGGAAGATTTTAAATTTAGAAATGTGTTCCATTGCCCATTCACATTCCAGGCCGAGCCCCCTTCGTGGGGGATGCGAGCGCCTGCTACGCCTGTTCGGATCGATCACTGAATAGCACACTTCTTTTTATGCGAACAGTGTCCGCATTTGCCCCTCCCGTTACCCTGGTACGTCGGTGGACCCGAATAGGGCTGACCGCAGCCCACGTAGGCATGAGTGAGTTCCCTAGCAGGGGGTGGTGCCTCTTTCGCGATTGGCTTGACCGGCGTTTTGCAGAAACAGTCCACTTTCTTCTTCTCGTGGCAGTTGCATCGCAACTCCGGTACTCCGGCCACCATCCCGGGCCCATCCTGCAGAGAATCTGGCTTTCGTTGGGGACGAGTGCACGTATAGGTATCCGCAACTGGCAGGTCGTCCTCCTCTGGCTGCGTTGCACCCGTTGCTGCTACCGGACGTTTGCGACCACCAGGTCCAATTTTCGTATTGCGGGTCCTGTTTTTACCGCAATTGCAACTCATGGTGGCGTTTTTTCTCTTTTGAACTTTTGTAGTTGGTAAAACACAGCTCGCCACTTCCGTTTGCTTCTGCCCCGGCTGCAGTTCTGGCTGCGACATTGGCTGGTCGTAGCCCCCCACTTGCTGTGGCGCCACGTAGGACTGCTCTCGCGGCAGCGGTGGTGGCGAGTACTGTGGCGTCGATTGTGCCTGGGGATACTGCGGCGATAGTTGTCCTGCGGCGTATTGTGGTGGTGATTGCGCCATGGGGTATGTTTGCCTCACTGCCTGGGGGCTGGGGGCCGATTGGTATTGAACGAATGACGGATCCTGGCGGAATGCTGGATCTTGGCGGTATCCTGTGGATCGCGGTGCAGCATCTGTCAAACATTGTTCCGGGGGGTATTGTCCTTGGAATCTTTGGCAGTAGCCGTGACATCCTCCCCCTCCGGTTCCTGGTTGTTGTGGTTGGCCAGGCGGTGGTGGGGATTGCGCTACTGGTAGGTATCTAGCTTCTTGTATCTGGGTGGAGTCCTGTGGCTGCAAAGTTGATTGATAACGCGGTTCCTGCGGCTGCAAGGTCGATTGATAGCGTGCTTCCTGTGGCTGCAAAGTTGATTGATAGCGAGGCTGCTGCTGGTATAATTGTTGCTGGTATTGGTCCGACTGGTATTCTGATTGCCGTTGTTGTGGAGGCATCTGCGGGTACGATAGATCCTCTGGTGGTTGCTGCTGTGGCGGGGGTGGCGGTGGCTGGGAGCGGGGCTGCTGTGGCGTGCCTGTTGTCGCTATGCTACCACTTACGCCGCAAGGGCAGTTGGTGCACTTGCCACAGGGGGTTGCTGCAAGCATGAACCACTCATTATTGCGGCTAGACAGTCAAAATAAAACGAATACTCACACATTTTCGCTCACTTACTGGCCGGAAACAAAATGGGAACACATCTGACATCTACAACAAATGTTGAACGTATGCCCCAAATAAGGAGACACTTACTACTTGGCACTTTTTTCCAACTGTTTTATTATACCTGATACTCGAGGAGCATAGGGGTATATTGGGGGTATGAAGGTGGATGTCTGCAACACCCAGAAGAAAGCGTTTCCGATCCCATAAAGTATATATATTCTGGACCGGCATCAGCAGCCGAGTCGATATTGCCATATCTGTCTGTCCGTCCGTCTGTCCCGATGAGCGCCTAGTTCTCAGAGACTACAAGACTATAAGTTAGAGCATATCTCTGGAGAGATGTGAGAATAAAAAAAGAGGCATATGTAAAAACAGGCAAAAAAAAGAAGAAAATCAATTTATCGCTTTTTGAACAACGATACCAAACGAAATATAAAATATATTGGATGAATTACATAAATCATAAGCTCACATATGTATGTATGTACATATGTGTTGTATATACTGACTGAGTACCGGGTATACCATTTACCATTTGCTTTTCTGAATACAGACTCCAAACTCCTCTGAATACTTGCTTTTTTGCAGGACTCCGCTGTTGGATTTAAATGGTTTCCACAAGACATAGTCAAACCGAGCCGACCGAAGGGTCACCAATAGTTGCAACTACAGTTTTACTGGCGGACATTTCTGCATTTCGCTCTTCTTGATATGTATATCATATCAAAATTTTGTACACCTTTATATTTCAGCCCTTTGTGGCTCCTAACAGGCTTCGGCTTGATGGAATGGAATAGTCCAGAAAGAGTTGCTGATCGTGGAGGCGCTTTAATATGACCTAGTACTCCAGAGCCTCGAGCTGCGCTCGCTATACCAAGAAAATAAAAAAGACAAGAACAATATGGTACATTGTAATTTTGTTCAATAATCAATCAATGACTCCAACGTCAAAAGACGTTAATTTCAAATTAAGGTAAGTCAAATAATTACATGTGTACAATTGCGACTAGGATGTTGAATACTTATATGAATTTTTATTTATTTTTTTGATAACACAGTGAATTTGTGCTTCGTACAAAAATTACGTCGTAGGATACTTCGAGTACTTCTAATTTGCAATATACTAAATAACTCTGAGACTGCACACTTCATATGTAATTTTCACTTTGCCAATTGATGGGTTGAAAAGAGAATTGAAGGATATTTCATCGGATTAATTACAAGATACAATGACTGTACCTGAAGATCTATGTATCATTGAGGTATGATTGAATTTGATCATCGAGCATGATGAACGGACATGATAGGTGATCCGGTGGAGACCTCCACTGAACGAAAGTAGCATTCATGCCTAATGTGTACTTTTTTAGACATTTTACGATAATTTATAGAATCTATGCCTGAAATCTATAAAATAATTCCCATTCCATACTTTTAAATTGCCAATTCCATGTACACTCATACCCTGGGGGTATCGGGATCGAGATATATTTAATCATATGCATTAATATGTCAAAAACAAAACAATCTGAGATAATTTCTTAACTAATTACGTATTTAAACAGTTTCTTCATATTATATTAACGAAAAAGGGTATACAATTGCCCAAACTCCGGTTGACGTCTTTACTTACGTTTACACTTACGTTACCACTGTTTTTTGTTGATAATTTTGGCTTAAACCATGTTTTAGACACAATATAATAAAAAGGAGTACTTGAACACAGCTAATCTTGTAGAAAATGTATTCGTCAGAGCTAAAGGTTTTAGTTAGTCAGAATTATTCAACGGAATATCAAAATTGAGCAATAGTAACGATTTTTCTCTTACGTTTTATTACGTTTTATTTATTTGACCTTCTTCGTTAAACCTTTTTTAGACCAAATCCAACAAAAGTCAGTATATAAAACAAACCAGTCAAGTAGAAAATTTATTCAATAATCGTATAAAATTATGTGGGCATGGCTAAATGTTCTATCTAGCTGGTAATATTCCCCGGAAGATCAAAAACGAGGAATATGTGTAATAGAACTTGAACTCGTCAGTATATTTACGGTATATTTTTAAAATGAGACGATATATTTTGGTATATTTCTGAGGGTCGGTCGGCATATTTCAACGATAAACACGAGGTCACACTGCGCCACACTCAAAAAAAAAAGTTCTTCGAGCGGGGTCGGTTGCGTCGCGCGTTTTTCTTGTCTTTAGAAAAACATTTTAAAATGTGCAATGCATAAATTATGAACAATCAGTTCTGTGCATTAAAATATTTAGTTTTAAAGTGCTTGTTTAGTGTGGAATTCGAATCATAATTGTTTGTAGAGCCGAAGTTTGTGGGAAACAACCCTTTCCGACGTGTAAATCTTCCCTTCGAGCATTTCTAACGGCAGTTTGAGTTTGTTAATTGTTATTGCAAATTCTTCTGTACAGAGTTTTTGAGTAGTTAAAGTACCTAATTGAAAAAGTCATTAAGAATTGCCATTAGTTTTCCCGTCTTATCTGTATATGTTTGTGCTTGAGAGTGTGTTAAGTGTGCGAAAGTGCAATGCGTGTCCGTATTGAATTTTCTTGATTTCCCCAACCGCGACGTAGCTGCATTCAACACTTACACACGGTGCTTGTATGGATATACGGATATACCTATATAATAGGTAAGTTGTCCCCACACCCCACCCCTGCCTCGTTTAGTCAATTACAATCAGCAACCGGCATTCCAATTGGATATTGGATACTCTTGCAACAACAGTAAAACATTTCTAGCTATTGAAATAATGGGCAGACAAACAAGTCGGGCACACATACATGAATGCATACACACAAATTCTCTCCCCATACACTCACAGGAATTCCGCAAGCTCACACACACACACTCAAAAGCTACAGCTGAGTTGTTGCTGTTGTTCTCACAGCTGTCTGGTATTGTGATAACTGTGTAAGGGAGAATTTCAGCGGGGGAGAGGATGGAATGATGCTGCCCCCAATTGGTTTCGCTCCATCTCTGTCTAATACTCTCCCCCTCGCACATGCTGTTTTAGGCGAGTGCGAGTGCACTGAAAAAGCCCTGCTGTTCGGCGTTGCAACCCATTCCCATTTGGCACGTGGCCAGGAGCTAGAACAACTGTAAATGCATACCAGATACAGTGGTCACTGAATAAGAATTACTTTTAAAGAATAGAAATTATAGAATTTCTAAAAACTAAAACTAAACCAAAAGAAAGTGAAATTTAATTTATGAATTAAGTCTCTTGGGAAAGTGTAGCTAAGTGGTTCTTTTCTGAGAGCTACCCCTGTACCTTATACAATTTTTGTTTAATTTCACTGCAATTTACATTTCTTTAAATCATTTTGTTTAGCCATAAAGCAAAAAGTTTATTTAGAACAATTTCCTTTTGATTTTCTTTGGCCAGCTGGTTTTCCTGGCTTTCTGGGTCACAGATTAATGGCTTCACACATTTTAGTGGGAGCTCTTAATAATATTTCTCTTATCGATTGCGTGTGTGTCTGTGTGGTGTCTGAAAGGTCAGACGTGGGTTGGATCTATGACCGACTGCGACAAAGCGGGTCAAGTTTGTAACAGACGGTGCACAAGGGTTAAGTAAGAACATGTTAAAGGGGTATTAAGATAGCGGTAAATACCCCACTGCTTGTCACTTAGCAAGCAGTTTAATTTCCTTATTTATAAATCTTGCATTCAAATTGAATTTTAAAGCCAATTATTGTGGTCTTAAGTGGCTTTTTTTTACTTATCAAAGAAGTGGTACTTTTTGCTATATTTGATAAATGTGTCCTCTTATCGGTGGACTCCCCCTCTGTGGAGGGAGTCAACATTTCCGCTCTGAAAACACAGACCCACAGATTGATTTATATTTTATCGTATGCCACGAGGTCTTATACTCCGCTCCGCTCAAAAGTGTCTTACAAGCTTTAATGTATTTTAATTAAATATTTATTGATATCATGTGTTCGGATATGAGTCACTTTTAGTGAAATTTACAACTGAGAACTCTGTTTGTGGGACACACATGTTTGAAAATGTCCAAAAAATTATCTATTATTATCGATTCGTAAGATTTTCATTGTGAAAGTTCGAGAATATCAAATATGTATCTCTAGGAATCATGCCCCTTTTCTACACGTTGTACCCTAACCCCCATATAATACTAGATGTCATCGGTCATATCTTATCTTTGGTAAACGAATAGCGCAAAAAAATATATAGTATTCTCCGATTGCTACCCGAGATAACCCTCGAATACACATATGTACACGCACACAAGTGTACATATGTATATACGTCGTATATGGGGTACTAAAGCACTCGAATGTTATTGTTTGGTTTTAGCGATAAGTCCCGTCCTTCTGAACAATAGATTCTTTGTGGTTTGTACTCTCACAAAGGGCAGTACTCTCGTACGTAATGGAGCCAGTTTGTTTGACTAATCGACTAACTATGATGTTAAACAGGTAATCATTGCATCGCTTGCGTGACCCTTAATTAGGGGCTAACATCATCATTTTGTAGAGATTCGTGGCATTTGAAAATAACAAATGGGAATAACACCCGCCATTAGCGGCATTTATTAAGAATATTTCCCCCATTTTTTTTTTATTTTTCTGGAATAGGAAATGAGTGGTTTCCCCCAATCAGAAATATCCCCCACTTTCCGTTCATATTTGATTTTATTTACTTATCGTGTATTTTGTTTACACATTTCCTGAGGGGGCCGCCTCTTGTTTTTTTTTCCGATGAGAGGTACATCCATTCCCCCATCCCTCATTTATGATTGATTTGTACATAGAAAATAGAGAAAGAGAGAGAGCAAAGCAAACATTTATTTTGAGACCATGTTTATTTATAATTAAGTTTTGTTCGTATTCCCTCTACAAAAGGCATTTCTTTTGTAAAAATTAATTACTTTTTGGCATCAAAAATAGCTTCGAGTGTCGGGATCTGCCTTCAAGATGAAAATGCCTGCAGTTTTTGCATTTAATTGGCAAAAAGCGAGAAAGTGAAGATGATTGTGTTTGTGAGATGCGATTTATGTGTAGTATAATGAGGTTTCTTCAGAGATGTATCCCTAGAAAGGGGCTATAAATAAATTAATGGATTCCGGTCTCCAGAAAGGGCTCTAATGTATCTGAATCCCTTCCCACAATCCCATCTTTTCAAAACCAGTAATCTAGATCACATTTTCCCTTTATTTTTAGTCAAATAAAATAAAATCTATAACAATTCAGAGAATTCGTTGGTAAGTTCTTTAAGTTCTTCCCTCCCTCTGTTTGAGGCATCATTTAAACCAAACATTCCGATGGCCAAAATACACTTTTTATACGAGTATTTGAACGACGACCATAAAAAAGCAAACATTAAAGCGAGCTTAATTAACTTTTTGCACTGCCATTTGAGTGCCCTTCATGGCCGAATGGCTGCAGTTAAAGACCCCATCAAAATATGAGCATCTGAATGTCAAGATCGGAATATATATACATATATACCCGTACCCGTACGAGTAGTGGCAGGAAATGATTCAAAACTGGCTGCAGAGTCACAAGTATGGCGCAGCTGCCGTTTCAATGCAGTTTCCGTTGAGATCTTGAGTACAAGCCCGGTTATTTTGTGAACAACAGAGCGATTCAAGGCGAAGGTCAAGCCGTGTGCTGCACGCAATCGGAGCGGAGAGGAGAGAGCAGAGTAGATTGGAGTAGACGAGAGAGAACTCGTTTTCCAAACTGCTTTTTGAGAGCGAACGCAGCTTCCTCACTCTGCGGCTGTGGCTGAGCGGCTCAACGATTCTAAAACTTAGTTTTTTTGCGGGTTTTGGGTGCTGCGGATCGGTCCGGTCCGTTCTGTTCCGTTCCGTCTGTCTGGCTGTCGCACTTTTCAGTGGGGGATAACCTTGAACGTTGCCTCACACGACGCGTGAAACGGGGGTCTCTGGTCCGTCGTCTGTCGTCTGTCAACCGTCGGTGTGTTCAGTTCTGGTTTCAAGTATTCAAGTGTCTGGTCTCTAATTAGCAACAACAAAGTGCTGGAGCTCTCGAGAGAGTCGCCTTGTGGCTGACTAAAGGTATGACTAACTAAACATTGAATATATTATATTTCTACACGGTACGGTGGGGCGTACAAGGGTAAACACAGGTGGAACAAGGTGGAGAAAAACAATTACCTATGCTATATTGTGCTATAAACTTGAAATTCCACGTTAACTTTAGACTTTGTAAATCAAACAAAAAGGTATAGAATGCCCCTACATCTACCTCTTTTAATGATTATAGTATTCATAGTAAACCAGTATAGGTTTTATCTACCAAACTCTTCTCTAAAAAGAAAGTATTCCTTGGAAAATTGGGGGACTACATTGATCTCTGGATATATTGAATTACTGGATATCCCCATATTCGAAATATCATTGAACACATTCTCTTTTCCACTCTCTTAAATAAATTTGCATAGACATATGACAATATTCAGTTTGTTCTTCTCAAATAAGAAAAAGATTCATTGTTCTTCGGGGCATAACTCTTAAGAACTCAACTCTCAAAGATGTTTATCCCAGAGTTTATTTTCGGCGTCTCTCGCTCTCTGGATCTCTGGATCTCTTTTTGTGTCAAATATCTAATGCATAAAATTTATAGAGCAAACATGACCTGAATGTGGGAGTAGTTGCCAGCATTGAAATTACTATGAAATACGAGTGTTCTGGAGATTATTTTTAAGGAATTCCGTCTTTTTTATGGTATTTTAATGAAACACTTTGATTGCATTAAGTTTGGCTTTGATTTCTAAAGAACTCTACTAAAAACCGTGAATTTTCAAACCATTTCTTGGATTTCTTGGGGAATTCTTGGGGATTCTTGGGTCTTGAATAATCTACTTCCCTTTTCCCTTGCATTTCCCGCTTGAAATTGAGAGTTCAATCAACTCTGCGCCTGCATTGTGTCTTTTGTGTTTCCCCTCTACGATTGCAAAAGCAAGCAACAATTTAAACCAGTTTTTCTTTACAAAATTTACACTTTTGCGCAGTGCCCCCAAGGCGTCCGTCCTCACCTCACGTTGGTTCGAGTTCAGTGCGCTATGAGCACGAAATAAGTGTAGCACATTCCCATGTACTTATAGCCATATATATATGTATGTATGGGTACAATCGTGTGCACAATCATGCTTATAAGGTTATATGGTAAGAGGTGGAACAAGTTCTCAGAATGTGCACTTTTTTGTGCCGCTGATAAGCACTGAAACGACGAAGCGAAGGCAACTACTATATATGTATTTATGGAAGGAAAAGTACAATATTCCTGCAGGGGACTCGCCAGTAATCCCATAAGCAGTGCACTGCTTGATGGAGAACGTGATAGTGGATGGCATGCTAGGGGGAATTTTATTTTATTTTAACTCAAGGGAAAGATATGTTTTGTAAATGGGAGGGAACCCATGTGGACTAAATGTCAGTTAAATGAGGGTCTTACTATCTTTAAGGTGCTTATAGATGGGTTTCCTTCTGCACGGGACCCCCCTTAAATTATACTTTTATCCGAAAGCTCTATATTTCTGAGTCACACATTCCTATAACCGTCTGCCCTGTTTATCAATAATCACTATCATCGTTATGAACCTCATTGATGGATGGTTTGGATACTGCAATATAATGACTGTTATTATACGCCGAAATATGGGTTTAGTTGATGATCATTGAACCGCATAGAACCTTCATTCAACCAACGAATGTTGTTGGGGGTTTCATCAAAGGTTTTCATTCCACAAATCGTTAGCATGGAAATGCTAATGACTCTGAAAGATTTGATTGGATTACTGGGGATCTGGGGGGAGGGGGGTAACCCCCGCACTCTGTACTCTTTACCTGTTCTTTTATCACCTCTTCCTCCATCCCTCATTACATCAATTAAGACCAAAAAAAGAGAATGGAGGCGACGCGTCGTCGTAACTCAAAATTAATGGCAGAGACGAATCACCTTTTCTTCACCTCCCAGCAGCTCCACCACTCCCCCTGCTGCTCCCCCCTGTGCCCTCCCGTTTGCCGTTTCTAATGGAAACCTGTTTTCTTTTCTGCCTTTTGCAGCGCCGACAAAGCCATCGACGGAGAGCAGAGATGACGCAAAGTAAACAGTCACTGGGGGGGTCATCCACCTACGCCCCCTGCTCCTCCAACAACTATGGGACCTGCTCCTCCGCCAGAGCCACAGCCACGGCAACAGCAGCGGGAGACCTCTCGCCGTCGCATGACATTCTGCTGAACAATTTCCAGCTAAAGAAGAAGTCCTATCGGGTGCTGCTCCATGGCCAGCAGCTGGTGTGGGAGCGCATGCAGAAGGTGAAGCAGTCGAAGAGCAGCCAGGAGACCAAGGCGCCGCTGCCCGAGGATCCGCCCTCGCCGGAGGGACAGCGCGGCTATGGCCCCAAGAGTCACATACTCCATGTGGACGATGTGATCAGCGTGCGGGCGGGAGACACAAAGATAGCCTCCATCCAGCCGCCGAATCCCCAGGCCATCAATGCCCAGGGAGAAGCCGATACCAGGCCCACTTCTCAGTACCTGACCATCAACTATGCCCTGCGCCTGACCAAGTCCCAGACGGACTGCAACCGCTGGGAGCTGCGACGCCTCACGTTCTTCAATGCGGACCCGTACATTGTGCGGCAGTGGGACCAGGAGCTGCAGGCACGCCTCCACCAGCCATCGAGCACGCGACTGCGAGTGCGCCGCCTGCTGGTGTTCATCAATCCGTATGGCGGGCGGAAGGCCGGCTCGCAGACCTATGAGCGACATGTGCGGCCCATATTCCAGTTGGCGGGCATCGATGCCACGTGCATTACCACCCAGCGGGCGAATCAGGTGAGGGACATCCTGCTGAGCCACGACCTGAGCTGCTACGACGCCGTCTGCTGTGTGGGTGGCGACGGCACTGTGGCGGAGGTCATCAACGGCCTGCTGTTCCGGCGAATGCGGGAACTGGGCATCGACGAGCAACGACCCTCGTACATACCGCGACCTGAGATCCCAGTGGGTGTAATCCCAGCCGGAAGCACGGACACCATTGCCTACAGCATGCATGGGACGGCAGATGTCCGGACGGCGGCCATACATGTGATCCTCGGCCAGCATCGCGGCCTGGACGTCTGCAGCGTGAGCAACAGCCAATCGCTGCTGAGGTTCTGCGCCAGCGTCCTCAGCTACGGCTACCTGGGGGATGTGGCTGCCCAGAGCGAGAACTACCGCTGGATGGGGCCTAAGAGATACGAGTACAGCGGCGTCAAGGCTTTCATCAACAACCGGGGCTACGACGCCGAGCTGCGGCTGCTGGAGGAGCCGGATCTGCAGCCCACACCGCTGGAGGAGAATCTCCCGCAGAGTCCGGACAGTGTGTGCTCTCTGGGCGAGTCTGTGCCCTCCATTTGCTATGCCAATTGCCAGCGCTGCAGCTTTGCCAGCTCCATGCAGGAGCAGCAACGCTCCTCTCTGTTTGTCCACGCGGAAGACGCAGAAGTGGAGAACACAAGCAGCGCTACACTGGAGGAGGCCGACCCAGAGGAGTCCCATCTAACGCCCAGCGAGGCGGCTCTGCTCAGACCCAGGCCGCGGCCCGACAAGCTCCAGCTGCCAGTGGGCAGCGTCCACTCCATGAAGAGCCTTGCCTCTGAGCAATGGAAGGTCATAAAGGGCAACTTCTTCATGATCTGCGGCGCCAATATAACCTGTGCCTGCGCCCGCAGTCCCAACGGAATCTCCCGGTATAGTCATCTGGGCGATGGCTGCCTGGATCTGATTCTCGTCAAGAAGACCTCGCTGCTCAATAATGTGAGATTTCTGTTAAATACAGCCGGCCGAAGTGGAGATATAGTAAGTATCTTAGTGCTTTGCGCTAGAAGTGTACTAACACAATTTGTTTTACAGCGAAATTTGCCCTTTGTGGATGTCTATCGCACAAGAAAGTTCCAGTTTAGGACATTCGCAGCGGCCAATGGTGACGACTACAGCATTGCAGGCTCTTGCCAGCCCATAGCACAGGCGGAGGTCGGCAGCAGCTCCTCCTCAGAGTATTCCAGCTGGAACTGTGATGGCGAGGTGGTCACCGACTTGGACATAACCATGAGGTATTGCCTCTGTAGATTCCCTCCAGCAAAAGCTAATGATCATCCTCTCTCGCTCCTTCCAGATCGCATTGTCAGCTTATAGAGGTCTTCATGCGCGGTCCGCATTCCTATAGCAAGCCGCTCAAGAGCGGCACTGCCCCCTCAACGCCAGCCAGCTCCAGCGACAATGTGTATTGCTGCTGCAAGGACTAGAAGAAGCTTTAAACACAAATTAATCTAAATCTAAACCTAAACCTAAACCAATTGGCCGTGACAAGTAGCTTGTAGTTTTGCGTAGGGTATTCGTATTCGTACTCGTAGGGGTCTCCCCTCAACTATTATTGTTTTAGCATAGCTCAAAAGAAACCATGTAACTGATATTCTTGACTGTATTACGGCATCTGAAAGATGCGCCAAGCAAACGGAAACATTCCAATCCCCAAAGGAAAGGTCTGCATTATACATACACTGAAATATATGAAATATACATATATATTATATATTGGTATACTGGCAATAAAAACAAAGTGTTATAATGTTTAAATTCAAAATTAAAATTGTTTGCTCTTTTAAGAAATGGATAATTTCATCTGTCCAACCTATTAAATTCCGATAGCTTTCGGTATTAATAAAGATTTCAGACTTGTCTGTAAATGAATCAGGAACCTGATCAATTAATCTACATTTCTGTTGGGGCAGCTCTAAAGCAGTCCGATCCAATCCATATCCTATATATTCATGTCGAACAGAATATCTTGGTTACCTTTTTTGTAAGGAAAAAAATGGGTGGATATGCGAGGAACAAACATAGGGTATACAAATGTCCAGACTCCATAAATGTGCTGTTGATATGTAGCAAATACGTAGTTACCGTGTCGCATCCATGTAGAAAAGGACATTTCGTTGCACTGTTTAAATAGAGGGGCTTAGTTGGGCTAAATTCGTTGCATCCCTGATTTGGTATTTTTTGAGGTCAAAGTTAATCTATTATATTACGTTTTTAAAGGTTTTTTTAAGAACATGAGGTATATAAACTTTTCGCCCTCTCAAATCGAATTTACGTGCATCATTTATTCCAATGGATTGTATTTAAATCCATTTCGATCATTCACTTTCAAACTATTTCTATTTGGCGCTCAAGTTTGGTGGCACTTGCTCTCTTTTTTTTTGATTTGATGTCTATTTTGTGAAGGGATATCCTCTCTTCGTGGAGGGAGTTTTCCTCGCCGCCAAATCCCTCGTCACTTTGACCTTTTTCGCGAAAAGCTTTTTTTAGACAAAATCCAATAAAAGCAAGTATTTAAAACAAGCTAGTCAAGTAGAAAATTTATCCAACAATCGTATAAAATTATGTGGACATGGCTAAATTTTCTATATAGATGGTAATATTCCACGGAATATCAAAATTTATTAATATGTATGAAAGAACTTGTACTCGCCAGGTTTTTTGCGGTATATTTTTTAATTGGGATGGTATGTTTTGGTATATTTCTGAGGGTCAGACGGTATATTTTAACGATAAGTCCGCTGGTCACATTGTTTATTTGTGCTCGTCATTCTCCGGCAAAAAATCGCTAACAATTTAAGATTTTCTATTATTATTATTAAAAACGAGTAAATTAACATGTTGAACAACTACAACAGCATGGCCCAGCCTCTGTGGCAGAATGGACCCACACCCGGTGCGTTCTACAACTTCACTGGCGGACAGCAGCAGACCCAGAAGTTGCCAAAAGAGCTGACCGCGGCAGGCCCTTTCGGAACAAAGCGCAGCACGTAGGGTGCCATTGACTATATTGAATCCACTTCATAATTCATACTACTTCCTTCCTCAGCTCTTCCATTACCACAGGCTCCTCCGTTTTGGGTATACGATACGATGGCGGCGTCATGATTGCTGCTGACACACTGGTCTCCTACGGCTCTCTGGCACGCTACCAGAACATTTTGCGCGTATTTCCCATTAACAATAACATCATTTTGGGCGGCGGTGGCGACTTTGCTGATATACAGTCGATCAAGCGCACCATTGACCAGAAGATGATCGAGGATCAGTGCTATGCGGATGGTATCACCATGAAGCCCAAGGCTCTGTCCAGCTGGCTGACGCGTGTCCTCTACAATCGTCGCTCGCGCATGAACCCCTTGTACATTGATGTGGTTGTGGGCGGCATTGAGCAGGATGGTACGCCATACCTGGCCAATGTAGATTTGCGTGGACGTGCCTATGAGGACTATGTGGTGGCCACAGGATTCGCTCGCCATTTGGCTCTGCCTTTAGTCCGCGAACGCAAGCCAAAGGATCGTGAATTCACAGCCGAAGAGGCTTCCGAATTGGTAGGACATAGACTGCAATTCTGTCCTAAAGAACTGAATGATTGTAATCCTTGTTTTTGTTTTTAGATCCGTAAATGCATGGAGGTGCTCTACTATCGTGATACCCGCAACATGGCCCAGTACACTGTTGGCGTATGCAACGCCAGCGGCACCACCATCGATGGACCCTGCAAGGTCAGCGAGAACTGGACCTTTGCCGCCACCATCAAGGGATATTAGAGTAAAACTCCGATAGAGCCGATAGAATGTATGATTTAAGCTTGTGGCGGTTTTTCGATGAATAAAAATTACTTTTCCAATCAAAAATTCGTTTACATGTAATATATTTAAATAAATTGCGGCTAGATATATGATAATTTTGATCAAACTAATGAGTGGCCAATATGGTTTACTGCTTGGAATACATGTCTTAAGTCGCCTTCGCTGCTAATCCACCTTTTGCTCAAAGCCCCTGCTGGTCTCAGTTGAGCATGGTGTGCCTGTCGTAGATGTGGCGTCTTTGCTCTCGCACTTGTCGCTTCCATTTGTCCTGCTGGTGGCCCACGCGATTGAGGACATTGGCTCTGGCGCTGAGCTCTTGGTTAGTGGCGGCGGGCATGGGCGGTGTCGGCTCATCCTGGGAGGCAGAAAAGAAAAGGTGAAAGATTTTCGCATTAGTTGGGGAATAAAGGAAATTAATGGGTTGGTTGTGGCTTAAAAGAAACTCAGTCAGTGGGTTAGTTGTGTCGCGGCGAGGCGATGGGGTGCGGGGGGTTAGGGGAACATAAACGTAAAAATGAAACAAAAAAGGTTCGCAATTAAAATCTATTCAAATGTGTGGTGCTTCTTTATTGTCAACTAGTTCAGCCTCATCATCATCATCAATATCAGGGGCTGTAACTAGTAGACTATACTGTATGCCTGCATATTTCTTAGAATGTTTGCTATGTACATCTTCATTGGTGTGCTCCTGGTAATTGGCCTTTACGCGCTTATTCAGCAATGGATCCAAGCACATCAGGAAGAGCATATATATCACTAAAATGGATATTATCCAAATCACAATGATGACAACGACCTGTGGATGGGAAACGGAGTATATTAAAGGGGTGTGGGGGTTGGTTGGTGGGGGTTTAACGAAGCTACCTTTATAAGTGTCGTATTTCGCGCCACATGGGAGCACTTGCACTCGGCACAGATGGGCAGCTCCTTGCCATTGGCATCCAGACGAGGAAGCAAAGCCCCAGCACAGACACTGAAAAAGAGGAATACAGATTAAAGATCAAAGCTAATTGCAGTTTAGTGTAGAATGGGATTTACTTACCATTCTGTTGCTGGGTTCGCTGTGCTGCTGGCATTGGAAGAACTATGGCCAGGAGCAGGCGTGATAATAGCTTTCGGTGGCGCCGCGGCCGTTGGAGCAGGAGTCACGACAGTTTGTTTTGGTGCTGGACCACTTGCTGCTCCTGCTGCCACTCCTGCTCCTGCTATCGCTGCTGCACCCGCTGGTGGCAACGCACCTCCTTGGCTGGCGTTGTTGCTGCTGCTGCCACCACCCACTGGCAGGGTTTGTGATGCACTCTCAGCCTTTGTTGACGAAACAAATAGTGAAGTCATGTGATGCTCGCTATACAAACCGGTTTTCGGCACTCACCCATGTCACGCCAACTAAATAACATATCGCCAGTAACACAGCGTAGATGAACAAACGCTTGTGTGCCATTAATTTTTGTTTAATTTCAATTTTCTTCACTTTTATTGGGTTATTTTAGTGAAAATTGCGTTTCGGGATGATATCGATATATTTGTATATTATATTTGCAGTCGACCGATATTTTGCGATATGAATAGCCGATACATCCATCGCCAGGGCAGTGCATATATCGGTATACTTCTATATCGATACATCCTCAACATCATCGCTAACTTTGTTTGCGTGTTCAAAGCAAAAAATTAGAAATTGTACAAAATATTGTTACTTTAGATATATAAAACTCAGAAAGAGAGCAAAGACAAGGAAGGAGGATGCTGCACACACTATTGCTACCCGTACTGGCCCTGATTAGCTGCCTGAGCATCGTCTCCGGTAAGTGCCAGCGAGAAGCCGCAGAGGCGGCGTTTATGTGGTCTTCTGTGATTGGCCACGCCGCCCCTTTACAATGCAGAAGTATTATTGATCTATTATCTTTTAATCATCTGCGAGTGTAGCCACCCAAACCAATGTGGTGACGTGTGGCTCCATACTAAAGCTCCTCAACTCGGATTACAACTACCGGCTCCACTCACACGACGTGAAATACGGCTCTGGGTCTGGGCAACAGTCGGTGACGGGCGTGGAGCAAAAGGAGGATGTCAACAGCCATTGGATGATCAAAGCCCAGTCGAATGAGCTGTGCGAACGGGGAGAGCCCATCGCCTGCGGGTACACTATCCGCCTGGAGCATTTGACCACAAAAAAGAACTTGCACTCGCATCACTTCTCGTCGCCACTCTCCGGCGAACAGGAGGTGTCCGCCTACGGCACGGACGGTGTGGGCGATACCGGCGACCACTGGGAGGTGATCTGCACGAATGATAAGTGGATGCGCGATGCACATATTCGGCTGCGTCACATCGACACGGGCATGTACCTGGGCATGTCGGGACGCTCCTACGGGCGACCCATCTCCGGCCAAATGGAGATCGTAGGACTGCACAGGCCGCAGCATGGAACGCGCTGGACCACGGCGGAGGGTCTGTTTATTGTGCCCAAGGATAAGGAAAACGATCACGAGGAATACGCTCACACCGAGCTGTAGTCTCTTCTCATGACTGTGACTGCCCGATTGCCGCCGCATCCTACTATTAGTTCATTAATTTATAATTTAGTGGAATTTTTATGTGAAGCGAACGCGAAACCGAAACGAGTTCGATTTGTATTAGACCATCAAATCATGCAACAAAACCAACAAATTAAATTTACTTAAATGCTATCAAGGGAAGCGCTTTCATATTTAATTTACAAATTGAGGGGCGGAAGCTAACCATCTTTATATGTGGAAACGAAAAAATAATTTATAATACTATTTACATGGTATTTAATTTGAAAATATTGTCATTATAAAATGGAACTTTGGTTCCTTCAGCGCATTTTATTGATACAAATAAAAAATAGGAAGGAATATCTTTATCCAAGGTGTTCAAATGATCTTAATGATTATTAATTAAATATAAATGTTATTGGACTAGAGTATTGGATGACTTAATTCTAGGAATCTATAGGATTCGAGTCCTAAAGACCGATTTAACCCGTTCCCTAATTGATTCCGTACATATATGTATGTGTAGCCTTCACATTCATCTGAAAATAAAAAATAAAAAATCATGTCATGGCTAAAGAACGTAATTGCACACCTAGTTAGTGGTAATCTGCGAATGTCCAACGAATGCCCAATAACTGACAGAGCATCCTTTGCCACGAAACCCGGTGCAGGTACCTGCATACCTCTGGAAACTGCAATCTGAAGGCGAAGCATCTCTGAATGTCTCGTTCCTTCGTCCCGGCATTGTTTCTATTTGCATGCATACTCGTAAAACAATGGAGCTTATCCCGACCATACATAGTAGGTATAAGCTATGTAAATACGTTTTGCCATTGGTCTCCGCTCGTCTCCGTTCCGCCCCACAAACGCTACGTCCATTATCTGCTCGTCTGTTTTCTGTTTCTTTTGTTTGTGCCATTGTCAACGCTTTGTCTGCTCATCCTGCCACTGCTCCACCGCCGCTCTGCGCGCTAAGTGAGCTAAGTAAGGTCAAATGTTAACAGAACCCAACCCAAAAGAAACCCAACCCACACATTCATTTATAGATTCTTATAATCGGGTTGTCCTTGTAACCATTTTTGCATAAATAAGAAGCAGCAACAAAGATGCCTAGGATATTCTTCTGGAAAGGATGGGAGATCGAGGGATCGACAGATCTTTACCCGAATGTTGCCGCACAGATAAATAACAGATTTCAATATGATAGGATATAGAATATGCTTAAAATGCCAAAAGTAATGGTCCACTTTCAGGTTTTTCTCAGAATAACTCTTCGAAAGTGAACCCTTTCCAATACATTAACCAATCCTTTGTGGCTCCAAAGAGTTTCATAAGAATCCCAATTTGTATACGCGTGTGTATGTAGATGTTCTATAGCCATTCACCTGCGTAATGCACTGTTTAAGACAGGGCACAGTGCTTGTGTTTTAATGGAATCATCATTATTGCCACATGCTGTGGCAACATATAATTTAATTTTGCGTCAATTATCTTTTACAGGTGTTGATAATTTCCGTTCTGTGCGTTTATTGATTTACGTTTATCGCGTTAAATGCTCTCACACACGTGTCCTATACAAGAAATATATTTATATTTATAAATATGTATATATGTTTGTCTTCCTACCCTACCCATTGCTATCCTTTGTTGAGCCAGGACACATCCGCCTCCTTCGCATTGTATCCCATTTTGTATTGTATTTCCTATGTGACCGTTGATAAGCAGGACTCATCGTGGCAAGGGGTGTGGCAGGGGTGTGGGTGGTAGGTGTGTACATCTACATCCCCTCTTTATCGATTCCAGTTTATCAGCGGGCAACGGCAATGGGCAAAGGGGCTTCGAGGAGGGGTTCTTTGAGTGACTGAATGACTGACAGATTGACACAAAATGTTTGAATGTTTCCCTGCTTTTTTGTTTGTTTGTTTGCTTGCCTGCTTGCTTGCTTGATGGTGTGTGTAATGCTTGCTTCTCCTTTCCCTTATCACACTCTTATGGAGTATATGTTGCGTATACGCACGAGTGGCTGGCAACAGCAAGAAAGAAATTTGCTGCATACTTTCAGAAAGGCCAGGGAATTTATTTGTTTATTAAAGTACGAGTCGTATATGAAATATATTAAAAATGCACCCTGTATACAGCATGCAATTTATCATTCATGTCCACACAAATTCTAAGAATTTACAAATTTACATTTCATATTTAAAGTGTAATGCTATACTCTTAATGGGATTTGAAATATACATATTTCTGGATATGTACTTGCTGCTTATTGCGCTAAGAGGTGGAATTTTGTTTTAAATTGCATACAAAATCTCAAATTTTCCCATAGTTCCCCTTTAATCCGTCGTAGGCCAATTAAAATCATTTACAGTCCCACTTGATGTTTGTAGTCCCATACAAGGCCCCTCCCTGCCAATCTAGACCATTCCAGGCCTCCGCTATGCTTCCCGGAGAGACAAACAGCAACAACAACAACAACAGCCATTTTCAATTAACGTGGCCACGCGCCTCGCTACAATACGCAAGAAACATGGCAGCCACAAAAATTAATGGCCAAAACGAAGCGAAAAATTCAATCATAAACAGTTACAGTTACATAACACACACGTACACATGTACGTTCCCCGCCCGAACGTAGTATTCCGTTCTGAATGTGAGTGTCGTATCAGGCAGCCTGTCAGTCAGTCAGGTCAGTCACTCAACCTTCAGCCCACGCTATCGAGTGAAAGCGAGATGGAATACACATACATATGTACGTATGTATGTACGACGGGTACTATGCTAAAGGAAAAGAGAGAAAGCGAGAGCGGGGAAAACAGCAACAAACAGCTGTTTGCAATTTACAAAGACTTCAACGAAGCCTAACGGCAAAAGGCAACACGAAGGGAGAGAAGAAGGAGAACAACAGCCACAGCTGAAACATGATAAGAAAAGAGAACAAATGGAATTACAGCTAGACGACCATTAGATGTCCTGTAATGGTTTTTTGAACTAAAAAGATTAAAAAGAATATGTGGAAATCCTTGAACCTAATTCCATTAACAGATCAACAAATTATGACAGAATAGGTAATTTAAAAAGATCTCAACAGCAACAATCTTAACAATCATTGCCCAATCCTTGCTTTCATTGCCGAACCACCCGAAAAAGTGACCATATCCCACCTTTAAGAGTATCTTCGTATAATGAAACAGAAACTAAATGAATTGTATTGTGAGCATTGTAGCGCGCAGTGCACGAAATCTTACGGTATAATTAATAAATAATTGCGTGGCGCTGATTGTCTTCGTATAAGTGTGTATGTGTGTATCAGATATGTACATGTGCTTGGATGTGGGTCTGGGTGCGTGGCCATTGCCTCTTTCCACATACCACTACATACGCGTATGCGTGGGCGGAACCATAGAGCATTTTGCATTGGCAGCGCCCAACGCCAGGGGAATACTCCACGCGCCGTTCATGACGCTCCCCACTATCTCCTCCGTCTGTCCCTCTGTCTGTCTCTTCGTCTCCTCTGTCCTTCTGGTGTCGCCTCCACTTGTCGTTATCGCTATCGTTGCGCTTACTCACTCTCTGTCGGTGTCTCCCTCTCTCTTTTGCATACAGTTTCTTCTACGCACTTAACATTGAAAACCGAAAACAAGCCCCCAAGTGGAAAAAAGGCCTACCGTCCAGCAACAACTACAATAGCAGCGCTCTCTCTGGGAGCCTGCGCACTCTCCAACAACAACAGCAAGTTCACAGAAAGTGGGAGAGAGAGCAGAAGGGCCGAAGGGCAGGCAGCTAGGGACAGCAGGCGCTCCAAGGTGTCGTCATATAAGGTGAGCCTTACTATCACATATCGGATTAATGGTTAATTTTCCGCCCACTTAGATCCGAACTTCCAAACGTTTGGAGTGCAGCGTTAGCAGGCGGCCAAATCTTTACCATACCTTAT